AGTGTGAAACTGAAAACATTCACCAGTAGCCCCAGCTAAAATTGCAGTAGGCTGCTGTGCAATTCCAGTGATGAATAGTATGTGTTTGCGTTTGGAAAATATACAGTAATCACTGCAAGTATAAAGCATTACAGACAAAGAGATGGATCATTTTCTCTGATTGTTACATAGGCGATTTGAATGGTTGTTTTGCAGTTTCATAATTTGTTGCCACTTAAATAAGTTGAGGATTTTTTCTTCAGCTCAAAAACTGCTTAGTGTAAGGAAAACATGTATTGCTTGCTTAGCGAAGCATCCACTAAAACTTGAGAAGCTGAAGATTCTCATGGGGTAGTTTAATTTCCAGAAAACACCCACAAAACCAATTACATTTTTAATGAATAATTTATTTGGGGTGCTTTAAATTGGATTCTTTTTCACAGTTTCTCACTTTATGCATTTCAACTTGGTAATTGGTTTGGTTCCTACAGATAAGTTTTTAAAGCCACCTAGATCTCCTGTCTGGAGAGTATCAGATGTCAGGATGGGGTCTGCTGTGTCTCTACATGCTATCATAGTCTTTATTACTTCTGTGAACTTTGTGGCTTTTGGTTTTTTTTTTGTTTGTTTTTTTTTTTTTTTAAAGAAGGTGATAGAAACAAACTGAAAGATTAAGTGTAATGTAGTTTTATTTATTCCAATAATGAGAATGCCCAAGAGGAAGCTGTTTTTTGACATGCTTCAAGTACCATTACGGTATAGTTTTAAAATGTGCCTTCCAACAGGAATTGCGGATACCGCGCCTACACAACATGAGATGAAAGGCACTCTCTTAAGTTGGTAATTCCTAAACCATTAAGATGTAAAGGTCAAAACACCTTTATTGTCTTCACACAGAAGTCTATAGCTATCCAGTTATTTCTAAAAACCTGTTCAAATGGGGGGGGTTGACTCTTCTATTTTCTGCCCTGTACTGGTTGCTCATTCATCATATCTGCAAGGCTCGGACATGGTTCCTCTGCAGAGCGCCATTATCCCCTTCGAGGTTTTCCATGGTGACAAGGTTCTGCGCCCTTTGATCAATTGCAAGATGGGAGCTTAGTACATGAACTCCTTGGGCAGAAGTCATACCAGATTTTCGGGCTTTTTTCTATAAAGTATTTTGCTCGTGTCATTGCTGTAACAGTAAATAAAAGTGCTCGGATACTTCCTTTCGCTTATACCTCAATAGGTGCTTGTAACAGAGTGTTTGCATCAATTCTGCATGTACTTGATTATTGTGAAACGGGAGCAGCACTTCTTGTAGGAGGGCTGCTGGAGATCCTTGCTGATTTTTTGCCTATGTAGTGGTGTTTATGTTTCTCTCCCGATTGTAAGTGTTTTACTGAATCAGCTCCTCAGATGAAGGTGGCCCATCATGATGGTGGTTTACAATTTGATCGTGGTTTTGTCAGTAAAAACTTCACCAAGTGAAGTTATCATTATGCAGAATGATAACTTTTATTATAACATTAGGCGGTATGTAAAACGTTAGGACATGTGATGTGTGTATGTGTGTGTTTGCATTTTGTTTGTGATACAGTGAGCTACTGACTGAAGCTGGTGCAGAAAAAAAAAATTGCTCAAATATGTTCTACTGATTGACCATTTCTTCAGTGTAAATATCACCTTTAGGCCCAGAATTCTTGAAGACTGAATTGTTTTTCTTAATGTTTTTGATGGACAACATCTTCAAAATACAGCTGTCAAGCAAAGTTGCCTACATGGAGTGCACAGCAACTGAGTTGTCTTGGAATACATAGTTACCTTTATGATGGATACTCCCACATCCCGGAGTGTTCAGCTGTTAATTCCATGTGCTTTTCTGCTGACTCTGCACATACTGGGACTATTGGGTCAAGCAGCTCTTTCTGGATGTGCATGCCCCAGGGTAAGGGAGGTCAATCTTACAATATTGCAAAGTAAAGCTGCTCTGCAGAATGTTAGTTTCACAGCCACAAGCTAGAGCATCATTATATTACTTTTCCATTTTGCATTAGGCATAAGTTCCCCTGGAGGAGTGTTTGTGAGTCTCTCTTCTTCCTGACCTTTAGTTTAGAGGAACGCATCAACCATCTAAGGCAAAATCTTCCTTTGTGTCTAGTGCAAGTCTAGACCCTGCGGAACTTCTGTGTTCATTCGTGAGCACCTCCTGGAAATGAGGCAGATCCTGAAAAAAAGAAATTCCGGGGAAATAATTTTTTAAGAATATCACAAGGTTTGCTCTAAAGCCCATTTAGCTGAATCTGCTGCTGCTGTCCACCACACATTTGAATTGCCTGACAAGTGGTAGTAATCCTGAATACAAGTCTGTGTGAACTGAACAGCTACACTACGGTTTGGGTAATATTTCTTTATGCCCTCTAAATTGCTAGGCATTGTAGGTTCCCTGAAGATGAAGCCACAAAGTGCTTGATGTTTCTGCCTGGAAATACTGTCTTCAGATTTCAGTTAATCTTCTTTTAAGGATCTAGAAAATAATAACCTGGGATGTAAAATGGAAATATGAACATAGAACTAATTTTTGAGAGGAAGTGTTTGAAAGTATTCGTTCCGGGATTGCACTTGATACTGAATATCGACGACAGGTTTAGTTTTGCTCACTCCAGTTACTCAACTGGCAGATGGAATGATGCAGACGAGTCCTGGCCTTGCAGTCTCAGGTAAGTTTATATACGTTTCTAGTTCCAAAGGTCTGCAGAATGGACAGCCCTGTGTCTGCTCACACAGATGCGAATGTGTGTTGTCAGCCATCACAAAAACCCGCAAACCTATAAAGAGCTGCAGATCTTTGATACAAAAGACAATGCCACAAAAATTATCTAGTGCAACAGGAAGAGCACAAAAGAGAGAAAGCAGTGTTGTCTTTTGTCCTGTTCCAGTGGCTAACCTAGGAAACGTGAGAGGCACAAGAGAAAGGTGACACTGGAAAGAAAAAGAAATGTTTATTGTTGGTTTAAGTGTGTCAGTCTACACTGGGTACTAAAAGTTGGAAAGGATGTTTGGAAAGGGAGGGAGGGTATTCCAATTTTCTGAAATATGTTGTCAGGATCATAGATTGATTTTTTTTTTCCATGGTGGCTATAGCCTGGTGCTCTGACTATGCATATAACAGCCTGTTTCTGTGTAAGATATGCTGCTCTTAGGAAAATACATTAATTTCAAGACTGACATAGAAATGTCAGAAGAAATGATTTCTTCTTCTCCTATAAATAGTCTGAAAGGCAAAGTAAGTTTATATGACTCTCAAAGGTCTGTACACAAGGAGGTAACCCAGTCTGCAAGAAATCTTATTTATTCAGGATTGTTTGTTATGTTTTAAAGTTTGCCTCCCACTGTCTTCTGACAAGTACAGAATCAGCACTGGATGAAAATGCTTCTAGGAAACAATATATTTGGTATACTGGTTTGACGACTAATCAGCAGTCTGTCTTGCTCCACTATGTCTAAAGAATTGTGTGTTAGAAGATGAAATGCAAATCTTCAGTAATTGCATTCAAACAGCTGTGTCGTGTAAACTTATGAAACCACTTCATTGTACTGTCAGCTAAAATTGACCATCCCATAGATTTATCAGCAGAACACAGAGTAATTACCTTGTCACATCTACTGTTTGGGAACATGAGGAGAAGGGCATTTGAAAAGCCCTGGCAGATTAGAAAGAAGGTGCATGTTTGACCCAGCACGGATAGTGATTTTACCTCAAATTCACTGATAGCGGAATCAGAACAAAATTTTATTTTATGAATGTGACCTAGTACCTCTTACAGAGTTGCTTAGATATCACAAAGATAAAAAGCATAAAGATAGTTAGAAAAAGGATTTCAAATGTTTGGATAAATATTGATAGTTTTGCTATCTGTGCTTTACATGCTTATATTCTATTTTGGTCTCTGCAGTCAGGAGCAAAATTGAGTATGACATTTGTGGAGGAAATAGAAGATGTGTTTCACAAAGCTACCTCTTCAGCCGCAGCACTAATTTTCCTACATTAAAAAAATTAATAATTAAATGTTTTTTGAAAATGCATATTTTTTTAAAAAAATCCATCCAGCATCTCTGGAAGGTGAACAGCTGCAGAATGAAAGAAGTTCAGTACAGAAACTTGGTGCCTGAGTTCTGTCGTCATTGCCAGTTGAGCACGTTCTATAGAAACAGGTTAATGGGACCTAAAAATATCATTTAAATGTAATTAAATTGCAGTACAACCTGACTGAATCCTTTTCTGCTTTGAACCTTAACTTTTTAGAATAGGTCTAATATCAGGAGAGACATGCTGAAGGTTAAACATTGAAAGAGCTTTTGTGACTCAAGTTAAAAATTTGCCTAAACGTTTAATTTAATGTGCACATAAAATCAAGGATTCTTTCCACAGCTGATGTTTGCCTCAGAAGAAAAAGGTAAATTGCTGAAGGAAAAAATGTTCAATTGCTATTGGATAGATGAATGTCTAGAGGTACCACAATACTTGCAGACTTGTCAGATTATGTGAAAGCTGAGTATCTATGAGAAAGAGGTGGATTTGCTTTGCAGTGTTTACTTGCCTGATTGTTTGCATTGCTACATAGATAACACCACAGCTGTGGAAAACATATGTATGTCATGGATCTTGTGGGAGCCTACCTGCTCCCATTCAGCCCCCAAAATCCATGGGTTTTTTTAAGATCATGAGTGCTTTATTTAAAAAAGAAAGAACACAGAAAAATTCTCTACCTAGGCAATTTGCTAAATCCCTTTAAAATACTAAGTTATAACAGCATCACTTATATTGTTACGTAGAAATCGCCATGCAAATTGTGAAATTCCCTCAGTTTTTTGCATATGGGTATTCTCAATATATCTTAGCTCCTAGTATCACCCTAGAAGGTCCAAGACTTCTCTGCAGTAGGAGGATCTTGCTGTCAGATCTTAAAGGATCTTAAGGGATAGTATGGTACAGTGTTAGTGACAAAATACTGTAATCCTGTGTTTTTCTTTATCAGTTGCATTTTCAGGCCTTGGCTTTACCACCTTCTACTTAGCTGGAAAGTTGCACTGCTTCACAGAGAATGGCCGGGGGAAGAGCTGGCGGCTTTGTGCAGCAATTCTCCCACTCTACTGTGCCATGATGATTGCCCTGTCACGTATGTGTGATTACAAACATCACTGGCAAGGTGAGCCATGGAGATACCTTTTCCCTACTCCCCCCCCACTTAAATCACATGAGTTACAACACGATAGTACTTGCTCCTGGATTGATGCTGAGGCTTTCAATGTCTGATAATAATGCAGGGGCCCTTTACCGTTCTATATTTTTACATACACAATGTACATCATCGTATTTGTAGACAAATCTACATCAGTGTTTTTTTACATCATCATTTTGTTACAAATGTACATTAATGCCATAGCTGGTATGGATGGATCCAGCTGTAGGCTGGATCTGGCCCATCCGAGTAGCTCTGTTGTGTGGCTTAGTCCTTCTCTACTGCTTTTCCAGGTACCTGCAATGTTCTTGTTGGGTATGTGAGTGATTGCTAAGATGTGGTTGCATTATACTAGACTGAAGCATCTGTGAGTAGCTAGTCATTGCACAGATGCCCTCAGTCATTTGTCTATGTTCTGGTCCTTTGATGCACGTGATGTAACACGCTACTTTTCATTCTAATCAAAGTATATTGGGTCTGAGGTGGGTTCATGGCCCCTCCTTTCAGAAGTATAGAAACATTGCATACTAAGCTACATAGCATAGGTTGTAACAGATTCTACCCACACTGAAAATCTTGCTGAAAAATTGGATGTTTTCTGTTCTCTTAATTTTTTTGGCCAAGGTTGTAATTGCTCCCATGGTGTCCATTCCACACTTTCCAAAGTCGAGTCCTACTTAAGGAAGATAAATATTTCATCTTTTTGTTACATCTTATTAAAAATGAGTTTCCATAGCTTTGGGCTGCAAATATTTCAAGGCTGATATTTTGTTGTACTGACTGGATGTTAGTGTGATGGTGCCATACATGTGGTACCAATGCATGTTTGTTAGTTTGTAACAGCAAATAAATGCTGAATGTATTCAATATGGATGAGTAGGTCATTGAAGCAGCATGCAGTGTCTTTCTTGATCATAAAGTACATCCACAAAGTTAAAGAAACATGCAACACAATCTTAAATGCTACCTTTGTGAGGGAATGACAGTTATTGACAGAATGGGAGATGGCTCGTAAGACTCTAACAGCAGCGTTTGATATGTGGGTGAGTTGTATAAAATGTCTGCTCCTGGATGAACCTGCATCATTAAAAGTCTATGTATAATGAACAACAGGGGATATTCTTAAGTGGAGCATCGACAGTCTGAAGGATGCTTAATCCTAATCTCTTTTTAATTTACTTGTTATTGCTTCTAGCAGAAACTTCGGATCTTCATATTGTGTGATCATTCTCATGTAAATGAGGCATCATTTTAATACAAAGTAACTAGAGCAGTTACCTTTCAGGAGGTTTCTTAGTGAGGTTGAATTAACTAGGATTGACCTTCATAGCTTCAGGGCCATGCCGCAGCATCCTCTCTTCCTGCGCGGTTGGCACTTCTGGCATGTGACACCAGTCAGAACAGCTGCATCTGTCACAGGAAGACTGTTGTCTCAGAGTCCTTTAAAATTCAGGCGTGAGACGTAACTGATATAGAAGGCTATGCTATTTATTAATTACACATTTATATTACTGAGGTACAATTCTATGACTTCATTCTATTAAGTCAGAATATACCACGCCTTACCCTCCCACACTGAGGCTTTCGGGCATGGTCCTGGTAGAGAATCTGGCAGGTTGTCCACATGGCTTCTGTCCAACATCCACAGGTCAGTTTACTACTGTCTGTCAGCATCTACATTTCACTGTCAGAAAATCTTACCATCTATTATTTCTTTTACCATTTCTTGACCCTCTTTTTTATCTCCTTTGTACCCGCCTTTCTCCACAGGTTTCCTGAGAAAACCAGCCTGTAATTACTTTTTTCCCTGCTTATCCCCATATTCCTATCAGAAATACCAGACTTGGTATTTCTAATACTGTTATGTAGATCATCTTGGCTTTATGTAGTACTGCTGGTATGGTACTGCTGGCGTTGCAGATTATACTCCCGTCAAGTTCCTGAGTACTCCTTTCAATTATCTGCTTCATACTGGTTATATATTGTTTATGTTTTCTAAGACATATCATTCTGTTGGTTCGTGGACATAGTTTCAATTAAGTACAGCGTATCTTGTCCCACTGAGCATTTCTTATCTCATACTGCAGTCAGCATGCCAGAGCAAGACTCATCCATGCTTTTTCTTGCTCTGTTTTTTGTGTCGGTGCAGCATCCCTTTCTCCCATAGCATCACTGACCGTTAGACTTCACATGTTCTTTAAGGAGTCTGCTGGTTTCCTGCAGAGGCCTTGTCTGGTCACAGGGCTCATTACTCTTCTTTGCTCACCGACACTTGGAGTCGGAGAGAGCCTCCAGCACAAAGCTGCTGAATGTGAGGCGCCTTCCACACCAGGCTGGCAGGCAGGACAGACAGTAGAGTTACCAATCTCATGCTCAATGTGTGACGCTTGGCTGGTTTGAACTCTCTGTTAGAGAGAGAGAGGAGTGTGAATGAATGTGAATGGGAGTATACAGGTTTACTCTCAAGTTTTGAATACGTTTGTAGCTTGTACCATCTCTTGCCAAGAGTAAAAATTATTTACATACTGAAACATGTGCCATGAAGCAGATTATTATGGTGTATTTCATATGTAATAGGAGAAAACTACACCCAAGAGGTTGCGATTGTGTCCATTACAGCCGCTCATATTTTTACCTTTAAAGTTTGAGGAGATGGAGCTGAAAACCCAGTTCTTCCCAAGCTAAGGACAGGCCTGGCAGACATTATCCTGCAGGTGACCTATGCTTTTACCTGAAAGAACTGCATTCTCAAGGGAGAGACTAGTTCACTCTGTAATATACAGCACAGAAGCTCAGGCCTCATCTTTTCTGCTCAGCAGAGTCAACCGATTGTCTTAAATTACTTATGGTGGCTTTGTGATGGTCTTAACTATGCTGTGGGGAATGAACACGGACCATTAATGTAATGTCCAAGATTTAGCGTACGGTAGGTGAAAGATGGAGCTGAGTATCTTTATATTAAAAAGCCATTGAGTGGGCTCAGAACATTAATATTATGAGTAGTTTATGAGCTCCCTTCAGTTTGGCTGGAAAATGTAGTATTCAAATGCTTGGTGTTGGTATTGGTGAATATTAGGATCTTTCTTTATGAATTGTGAATGTTGAATCGTGAAATTGACTGGTTTTAAGTCCCTAGATCACTGTATAGGCTAATAATTCTGAAAATGCTAATTTACTCCTGAAATAAGTGGAAATTTTGGATGAAAAAAAGTAAAGATAAATACTGAGACTGAAATAATATTCTTTTCCTTTGTGGGCAAAGTAAAAAAAAAAAAAAAAAGGAAGCTGTGGCTATCATGAGTTCAAGCAAAACACACAATTGTTGTCTTCAAAAACAGAAGTCAAAATAGCTGCCTGTGTGTTTGCTCAGTACCCCCAGTCAAGGTCAGTAAGTTGGAAATCTTTGGCATAAGTCTTGTAGTGAATTTTAATTGCTGTGGTGCCCAAATGGAGGCCCAGAGTTGCATGCATGTGTTGTGAAAGAAAGAAAGGCAAGTTTTCAGCAAGTCTTGAAATACTTCGGAGTTTGTAGTGGATTGGCAGAAATCTGGTGTTTCTCCGTAATTAAAAATAGTAATCATAGGCTTGACCTCATTGTTAAGTAAAACAAAATAGCAGCTGAAACAAGATTCAACCAACCACAGTTAAAGGAGGGTAATCTGAGAATTGCAACCAGCACAGGTTTATAGAAAACTAATCTTGTCACAATAACTAAATATGGTACAAGTTGATTGATAGTGTAATAGTAGTATACGATAGTGAAAATTCTTGCCCTTGATACCTTTTGTACCGTGACAGTTTGACAGGGACAGTCCAAATGGTACAAAATCAGTCAGGTACCAGTGTGGGCAGGATAAGCTGCTGTCTGCTTGCAAATACTGTGTACACACAATCACCTTTCAAAATCTTACTTGAGTATCTATTACATTTGTTATAGATTCATTATGTCCTTTTGCGTGTAGGAAGAGAACATAGGATGGGAAGGGATCTCCTAGGTGATAACAGTCTCGTCCTCTTCTTCAAGGGACAACTGTGACTTATAATCACATTTCTTAAATTTATCCATCTCGATCTTAAATTTTTCAGGTTCCCTTGCCCCAGCTATTCCTGTTAAAAGGCTCTTCAGAATCTCACTCCTCCGATGACTACAAGCCTTTTAGTACCCACTGAAAATTGAACAACGTGCCCTTTGTCCTAATATACACTAGACTGACAAACTAGGGTGTTTAATCCATATTTAACTATTTTAGACAAAAACAATTTGTATTGATTAACCCTTCTTTGTCATTAAACTCAACGATTCTCTAATTTTATTACACTGTGGTTTCTTTGTAACTGGAAGTCAAATACAGAAACACAGGTGTACACAGATGATGCGGAGCTTAGTAAGCCTCGTTAAAATAAAACATGGTACCAAGCCGTGTTCTAGCCAGTGCCTTTTGTCTCGCTTTCATTATTGTTTGTGTTCACATCTGAGGCTTTCAAAGTCAGTGTGTGTTTTCAGCAAAGTTTTTCTCTGGTTGCTTGAAAACGAGACACAAGATCAGGCGAGTATATTAGCAAGAAGCAAGGAGAACCTGACAGAACAAGTCCTCTTACCCTTCAGGTGCTATGCGGTTCCTATGGAAAACTTAAAATTGCCTGTGTGTACGAGCTGCAAATATCTCATTCAATGGCCTTATTTTATTTTATCTTATTTTATTTTCTGGTAGGAGTACAGGATAGTAAATAGCATCAAAGAAAGATATTCAAAAAGTGTTAAATCAGTTAACAGGTATGCTTAGTCTTTGACCTTCCAGGTGGTTTTAGGAAAAATTGACCCATCTTGAAATTGTTCTTGACAGCTATCTTTCTCAGAGGCCTTTCAGGAGCTGCAGGGGAATTGTTGAAACAAATTGTTGTAGCTATAGTGGCCCACTTCCTGAAGGAAGATAATTTTCCATCCTACATCCTACCTGCTCCCTGTCTGCATTGGAGAATGCCTTCTGGAATACAAACCAGTCAAAAGTAGATCTGGGATTTTAGCCGCCATCTCCCCTGGGGTGCTTAGACAGAGACAAGGAGCAGATTGTAGTCAGTGCAATAGTTTGAGGTGTACCTGTCAGCAGGAGAGCTCTGGATGCTGTAAACAGCATAGTTCGACTGTATTGTTCATGAATAGAAAACCTGGTGGTGGTGGTGGTCACTGTAAATCATGGCAAACTGAAAGAAAACATGTGGGTTGCCTATCCTTAAACGCTGGTCAATGGTGAGCTGGAACATCATGAATGTTTAATGCCCCATGGAAACCGTTCTATTTCCCCTGTTCATCTCCTGAAACGTAGCAAATCATCTACATTTTGGGTATTCAAAATGTTGGAGATGTCCCCCCGAGAATACTGATTTTATGTGTTCTATGTGATTGTGGTATTCGGCTCCAAATTCTTTATGGAAATTTGAGGTTCACATTTTCTGGATTAAACACTTCCAGGTCAACCAAAGGTATTTTACTTACAGTTGTCACTACTGTCTGTCCTTTCCATGGTAACATACTTCTGGTTTTGTTTCTTTTCTACCTAGATGCTTTCGTTGGAGGGATCATTGGCCTCATTTTTGCTTATATTTGCTACAGACAACACTACCCTCCTTTGGGTAATACAGCTTGTCATAAATCTTACGTCAGCCTGCTAGATCAGAACTCTGTGAAGAAAGAAGAGAGACCTACAGCAGATAATGCTACTGGCCTGCCTCTAGAGGGAATAACTGAAGGTCCTGTATGACTTTAAGAAATGTGCAGAGTGAACTTTTAGCCTTCTCACATTTCCTCCAAACTGGTCTCTTAACACGGTGTTTCTTACTGTATGTGTTTTTTCTTTTGTTTCTTTCCTTTTTATAAAGAAAAATGAAGTATTTTATTTTTAATGCTGTAATATTATCATACTTTAAAATTTTCAGTTCGTATTGACTTACTGAATTATCTGTTTTCAGTCTACTACAAACAGATAGATTACTTGAGGGAAAGGGAAAGAACATTAATGAAAGCAATCCCATGTGGAGAATAGTTAAGAGAGTAATTTTAAGAAGATGTGGTTGAGGATATAGTAGATCTGGAAACAGATTTTCTGAAGCACTGAGTGTCTCCTAGAAAGTTCTGGTTGTCTTCAGCACTCATTGATTTTGATGGGTGATGAGTACACACAGCACTTTTCATCAGATATTCAGCATCTGTTGTGGCCAGCCATTTCTTTCCATAATTTGATAAGTTGGGCATCATCCTTATCTTTCTCTTGTTGCCTTCTAACATAAAAATCTCCATATGCTGGTAGAACGTATTAATTGTCAAGTTTTGACATGGTCATTCTGAGCTACTAATGATCAAGGAACCAAAAGGTATGAATGGTTAAGTGTTTCTGAGAGCCAAGCCTCATGCATTAGTAGTTCCATAGGATGATGCTGATGTTCAAGAAGTTCCATATGTTAAAGTTATCAGCTTGCAATAATGTATATGTTCACAGGATGGATTAGAAACTTGGTATTACATCATTAGCAATTTTTTGAGAGCTCTTGCAGTTATTACCATCAAAACAAAATGAAAGAACACCCATGACATTCAACAGGCTGAAGTCTTTAAAATAAATTTTAAAAAATCCTAAAACTGTGAAGATAAAGAAACACAATGTTTTTTGTGAATCTCTGTGTGCCACGTTCATTCTTGTGTAGTGACTTACTGCAGCATTGGTGATCTAAAGATATGCAAAGATTTTCCTTTGTGACTTTGGGCCCATAACCATGAACGCTTGTGGTGGTTTCCAGCACTAACATATCCAGAGGAATGCTGGAGACAGTTTTCCATTAGACTCATTCCACATTTTCAGCTCATCATGTTCTGGAGCATGGTGTTTGCGAAGGTTGGCTTGGAACCTGAATTGAAACTCACCTGAATCAAAACACTGTTGGTAGGGAGAAGATAACTAAGTGTATGACTTTAGTTAATTTATTATTGGTAGGATCCTGTTTTGTTATGTACACACTATGCAGTATACATCACATTCCTGTGAAATGATGTACCTTTGGATGGCAAAATGTCAGATTCCAGAATTTTCTTTCTTAGATACCCTGTGAAAATGCAGGCAAATGTTCCAGACGCCATCTTGGCAGTTGAACATTTCTTAGCCGGAGCTGCTGGTTACAGCGATGAAGATACTGTTGATCAACAACCATTATTACGGTGCTTTAGACTGGAGGAGACTGCTGCCATAGTTATAATTTATGTGTTCCTGTTGGAATTTGTATTGGCCTTGTAGGCATTTTGTGATTCGAACGGCTCAATGTCTTTATGTAAGGCTTGTCATTTACTTTTCTCCAAGGTAAGCTTTGTAGATTTTTTGAGAAGAGCTACTTCCTGATTGGCAACACTTGAATTTTTATAGAAAGTGAGTAAATTAGAGTCCCTTTTAAAGTAAATGTAATAATTGTGTACAAGAGGATGCAACCATTCTATATTTAAACATATATGATATTTGGGAATAACTATAAATAGGAAATGACATTAAGAAGCAGAATGTGATAGGCGTGAACCCAGGAGGGTGCTCTAGAAATTAGGCCTGATCTACTTGTAAAACTGATACCAGTTTGACTGTGTCAGCGGTAGGATTTTTTTACTGCCAGTTACGTTATTCTGAGCTCTGGAATAGAGACAGTTACCAAACGTAACTGTGGTTTTGCCGGTGTATATATGCCAGTTCACAAAACTGGCATCAGCGAAGCAAAGTTATTCTGGCATTGCATTTGCACTGGATTTGACCGAACACTTCTCTAGTGTAACTGAGGTCTTATTCTAGAAATCCGCCCAGTTTAGTGGAGGCTTACTCTTTCTATAAAGTTTTTAAACCATCCTACAGAATTCTGTAACAGGGATACCATTTTCTATTACTTCATATGGGAGGATTAATGAAAGCCCTAGAGTAAGGGTCTCATCTCTTTACATTGTATAGGGATTAGCCATTAGCTTTTTCTTTCAGCAGAAAAAAAAAATCTTAAATCAAAATTAGAGGTTTAATACTGATGCATAGAGCATTTTGCATGTTTTTGTATAGATCTGGCTTATTCTCAAAAATGAGTGGGGCCTCCTAACTGTGCTGTACACATTCCCAGTATTTTAACGGCTTTTGATACAACAAGCTACAATCTTCTTTGGGATGGGGAAAGCTTCTACAGTCCTCAAATGAGTATTGGATGTTAAAAGATTGGAATATGAACTGTAATGCAGCATAAATACTTACATCGCAGGACTTATTGGTGAACTTTGGAAAGCAGTAAAGAATAACGTATTTTAATGGGAATAATTAAATTGAAAGTCATAAAATGGACAATGTAAAAGCTTGGATTAAAATGTAATTAAAATTATGAAAGACTTAATGAAGTGAAACTTCTGGAGGGATCTGTGGGGGCTGTAATTACCAGTGCAAAGTCAGTGTAGCTAGGAAGGCATTTTTGTGGATCAATGTATTTTAATCTCATGCTTTCTCAATGTGAAGGAAATGTAATGTTGTAACGCACCAATAAAACAACACATGAATGTGGGTTTGTACATCTGTGTGTTACCGTCATTTTGAGAAGAATAACAGTTACCCAAGTTAGTTTCATTATAAACCACATGGAGTATTACAAAAAAAACCAAGCCCTAATGTGACTGCGTTATTGATAAACAGCAACAGTTCCAAAAGTCAGTACTGATACCACTAAAATGGAGCAGCCTTCCCCCTTTAACCAAAAATATGCTATCCAGCTTTCGTCCAAGAAAATGTACAGTGTAAGTCCGCAAGGTGGAAATTTTGAAATATTCAACCAACTAAACTGCAACTGGTCCCTTTATCTGTCAGGTTGCACATCTCAAATAATACTAGGGGTGCCACAATAAGAAATGTGATTAGACTAGAAAAGAATAAAGAAATCTAATAGAACATAGCAGAAATACCCTGAAACCACGAGAAGTACAAGATTGCGAACGAGTCAGTAAAATGTCCCGGTAGTGAATGCGTGTCTCAGGCAGTGTGTGAGGAACACAGCTGGAGCGTTTATGCTGATTCATTCTCAGATTTTGTTGTGTGCAATTTGGACTGATTTGGCTTTCTGTTCTTTCCCTGTGCATACAGCAAGTTCTTTCTATTTAATGTGATAAAATGAACCTAATTTTCCTTCTTTCTTTCCATAATTAAAATATACTGTACTATGGATTAAAAAAAAAAAAAGTTAAAAAGCCTTGTTTTTGTTTTATGCTACTAAAATTCCATTTGCCTCAGTGGAACTGCTCTGGATCACTAAGCACATCACATCCAGGAGGTGGAATAAAGCCTTCAGAGCGTTTTTGCTCACACTCTTAAATTTCTAGGAGTATAATTAGAAAAATAGTGCAACTAATTTGACTGCAATTGTGTTTTCTTGTGATAACATATATCCCTCCTGAGTTAGAAGACTGTTGGGTTGCTCTGACCTAGCGGAAAGGGAAAAGTCTTGAACGCAGCAGCATCAGGATGATGGGAGTGAAAAGGTTAGACACGTTTCTGTGGCTTTTGATGTTCAGAATGTGTTCAGAATTGCCACAAGCAATAGGTAACAACGATTATAAAATTTCTATTTTACCTGTTCACCAGTGTTACTGCACACAGTAGTACTGTGCAGGCTGGGACAAACACAGTACGGGTCCTGTATTGAAGAGTTATGATGTATTTATATTAATTCAGGGAAAGAAAATAGAAATTCTGTTCTGTATCATACCAGTGTAAGCACTGCTGTATTGCATGGAGTTAATTCACAATAATACTCTTTTTTTCAAAGCAAAATTTGAGATTTTGGTCTTCTGTCACTGCCATCTTGCTTCCAGTAAACTCTTGTCAACTTAACATGAAAAGGAGAGCCTATAGTTCCTTTCCAGACATATGTGTTATATTGCAATAGACATCCTGATATAAGTGTGCTTGAAACAAAGGACTGTTTCAGGGGCTGTGTGCCTGAACATTTGTCTTCTTGGGAAGGACGGTCTAGAGATTCACAGTTACTTTTTCAATAGGGCAGGAGAAAATCAACCGCTGAAATATCATTGCTTCACCTTCAGGGTCCCTCTGTATAACAGAGACTAGAGCGGTTTAAAAGCTGCATGAATGTCTGTTCTTGATTCTGTACATGCTCATAACAGATAATTTCTTCCTTGCAAGAGAAAATACTAAACACTTGTTATTTTTCTCCAGAATTCTCATTGACCAAAGAATCTATGCGTCCTCTCCAGATGTTCCAGTGTTTCTCTCTAATGTTTTTCTCAATTCTCTTAGAAAGGCCATTATACATGCAGGCAGCTCCTTTTATTAAGAACACTTTGAAAAATTCAGAACAGTATAAGTGAAATTAAAAAACTAAGCATATAAACCAAAATTAACAAAATTTGCCAAATTCAGGTTTACATAAAGAAAGCAAAAGTATCTCATGTTGATCGAATGTTATTTGTAACTACACATTCAGTAGGACTGGTAATCTTTAGGTAACGCTGTAAAATAAAATTCAAGGCTGTGCTAATATGCTTTAAGTCCAAAAAGAACAAAATTATGTAAATAAGCAATAAGATAGCTAGTGGATTAGACACAATGTAAAGATCAGTTAGAAACAGTTCCAAATTACTTAATTGAATTGACTCTATTTTAAATACAAAATCAAAGCATCTACCAGGGTTTTATTCCCACACTTTAATATCTATCTTAAAATTGCTAAGCAGGGCCGTATTGTTAAA